TTGAATGTATTACTATGAGAATAGGAAAACTCATTGTAGGATTATTATGCTAGTGAAAACCCACCATTGATTGAATCATTGTAATTGAAGCTATAGCTTTAGAAGAAAAATTTTGAGTTAATATTGGTGATTATAATTATCAAATATTATCAGGATATTAGTTGAAAGAGACATATTTGAATTACTTAATATGGATCGCAAGATATTCAAGATACTGCGAATAAAGCACTTTCCGGATTAATGCTATAGATGCCGAATAGTATTGATTCCAACTTAGACACATCTGGCAATTTAATGAACTTCCCTTTCATATACAATTCCCTATAAATTATACTTGTTATTTACTTCACTGATAATTCTTGCAAATCATCTTTCTTTTATATTATCTAAATAAACAGTTGTTTCCTTCTTAAAACAGCCATAGAATCTCATGATGATCTTCTTTATTCATGCCAAGATTCATATTCCTTCCTTTTCATCTGAAATTGCCTGATGTTGGATCTTCCATTATCTGGCTTTGCTGTCGTGTAACTTCCAATTACTGGCTAAACTTAACGGAAGTGAAGTTACCATACGACAATAGCCCAACAGAATTAAGATACTAAGTTTATTCAGGTAGTGTGATCTATAAAGATTACATATTGTTATTTCTGAAGCATGTTGATATTTGTCAAGGTCCTAACTACATGGTATGCATATCACAAGCGATGCGTCATACAGTAATCGTTCTTAACTACCATTCTCACTAATATTCCTAAACCTCCTTAACTTCAATGCACTAAACATTGGAAAATAAAATTGGTGCGCGCTACAAAATTCTTTCAGCTTTCTAAGAAACATACAGCAGAAGCAAGGATACCCAGGGGCCACTCACAAAACACACACATACATCATGTCGTCATTGATAGGGAACACTTCAGCAGGATCGGATAGCAATATAGAAGAATCATTAACGATGTTCTTTGATAATAATTTTAATCCCTCGGCGTATATCGATAAATTAATCCAATCAATAATTCACCAAGGTGGTTCTACCGCTAGTGCCACGCCAATCTCAACATATTCCCAAAGTTCATTATCAAATGTCTCGAACGATATTTCTGAGTTAATAACGCATTTGGATTATTATACTAATGAATTGTCTAATCATAATCTAAAACAAAAATTGGACACGTTGGAGAAATCAAACGCATTGATATTCCCGCATGGAATTAATAGTGGGGATCAACAAGAAGAGAATGGTGGTTCGACGAGAATACAGTATCATATCAATATTCTTAACAATTCAATCATCTCTCTCCAATCTGAGTTGCTGACGATAAATGAACAAATAGATAAAAGTTTGGAAGCGACAACTAAGAATTCACAACCTATAAATAACTTGATAGAGTTGAAAAGAGTAAAAGCAAATTTATCTAAAGTGGTACAAATATTTGAGTTGATTAAAGCATCAATTAGCAAGAAAGGTGGGGACTCAGAGAATATTTATACAGCTGAGGAATTTCAGAGATTATTGGATGAAATGTATGAAAGTATAAAGTCACAACTTGAGAGTAATAAGAATAGGGAAAAGCTACTTGCTCATGTTGATAAATTGATAGAATTGAATTCGTTGTTTGTTAATCTATCGAAATTCAATCCGATCTTTAAGAAGTTTGTTAGCAAACTTGTTTCTTTGAAAGACACGTACCTGAGATCAAGGTCATAGAGAATCACCTATTTAGAGTGGCATAAATTCCCTTATCCAGATATTTTATAAGCGATATTTTAGGTAGACACAATAATTAGACTATATACAAGTAGCGATGATATCTATCTAAAATTGTCCAGATATTCTGGCTTTTTCTTTCTCTTCTTGTAGTTGCTTCTGCTTTGATAAATTCCTATTCAAGACTTCCAACTTTCTCATTTCTTCATGAGGGTCAAAGTTACCAGTGGATAACTTTTCATAAATCTCATCATATTTCCCGGTCGAAAGTGGTGCATTTCCCTTCATTCTTTTACGCATATCAAACATACCATTCTTACAATCCATAAATGCTTTCAAATTGGCTATACATAATTCAGGAAGATCTTTCTTTAATTCGGGGTTATTAAGGCAATCTTTGGGGTTATTTCTTTCTATTAGCACGCAAGGTGATCTTTGTAAGCAAATGGCGAGTGCTTTTCTTTGGTCTTTACAACTGAAAAGTCTACTAGTTAGTATACGAACAGTCATCAACAGAATTGAATAGGCTATACATACCTTGCTCCCATATTGTTATATTTGAATGTATTGGTCTCTCTTCAACTAGATTTCTAATCATACGATGTAAGGATTTGGAAAAATAGTCAAACTCCGGTCGGTTTTAATCGAAAAAAGTTGTATCACGTGATTAGTCTAGCAGTCTGACCGGAATTGGAAATATCCCCGTGCTGCCATTTTTTTAACCTGTCCACCCCTACTTTCCAACCAATCGTCTTTTCGTTCATTCAATTCAAACAAGAAGATAAAAGAGGAACTTGTATGACGATAACATTTGTACCTGGAGAGGTGAATAAGACACCGTATTCCGTTGGCCAGGGAAATTGGAAGAATCATCATATATTGGTTTATGGGTCAGGTAACAATTTAATCATCACGGGTGCAACTGTGTTGGAATCCAATAAGAATCCTAATCCTGACAATATAGACAAGAATCTACAAACGATATATTTAGATAGAGATCCATATGCCATTGATGTAAATGACCTGAATGGATTTATTATGATCTCGATTGAATCTCGAATAGTTATATTCAAACCAGTGAATGAATATATGAAAATACCTAAGTGGCAACAAGCTATGGAATTCGAAGTTGAAGATAAACAACTGGTTAATTGTATTAAATGGGCCATTTGTGAGAATGAATTTGTGGTGGCTACTGACAAGACATTATATTTGTATCATTTGTATGATGAATATGGGGAATTGAAAATTAATAAAAGATGGGAATCTGCCGAAGCCAATCCTGTCACTTCGATTGATATAACTTCGAATGGTAGCAAGATTTTTACAACCAGTGGTGCATATGATCGTATTATTAAAGTATGGACAAGAATTAACTACGGTAATGAAAATACGCTTTTTGAAGTTGCTTATCTTCAACACCCCAACCATTCATATGTGACGAAATTTCATTGGAGGATCAGGTCAGCTGATCAATGTTCTCCCGGCAACAGTAAACATAAAAGGCGAATAACGGATGCTGCGATGGCTAATATCAAGAATATTCGTGGATATTTAAATCTTGAGAATGAAGACGATAGTAGTGATATCATTTATTCATTTACAAATGACTTTAAATTCCACGTCTGGGCTTCTTATGAAGTGAATGGGCATAATCATATACGAAATTGGATGACTTTGGATTTAAGTGAATGTTTCCCCAATATTTATACTATTGTAATTATTGAAAATTATTTCCTAAAGTCAAGCTTGATGCAACAGTTGAAAAAATTACATAATTCTGGTGTTTTTGAAGGATTAAATCTAGATGATTTGGATTTATTGCTCGTAATTTCAGAGACTGGGGATATTAAATGTTTTGCAATAACAAACATTTCTCAATATCCACCAAGTAATATTCAATTTAAGCCACTTAATCATCATGTTTCATATAAATTCAGTGAGAATTCTTTCCCATTTGGACTGTTTGATATTCATAAATCAAAATATCAAGCTGAAGTCATTACAAAAGAGTTAATCCAGTCGCAAGAGTATATCACTGATGTATTGCACCCTGTATTAATGAAAGATGTTACAGTTTTAAATAATGATCCTAGGATCCACGCACTTTCAATTATAATTCATGATCGAATAAAAAATACAATCCGATTTAACACTATTGATTTTAGAAAATTATTAGATCCTACCAAGGATTCTGGTATAATTTTATTAAGTAAATTCCAAGGACATACTAAATCAATTAGAAAAGTGGTCAAGTCAAATTCATCTTTCACAAACAATAATATACTTTTATCTATCCTGAATTTTCCAGAACATAATTATATTTGGGAAGCAATGCTATTGACAGAGAATAAGTATCATTTAATGTCAGTCACAAAGAGATTCCAGTTAAATGTAGATCATTTAAATTGTGGAGATATCACCCCTAGCAAGAAAGGAATATCCAGTGCTGCCATTATAAATGACGTTGAACCTCCAATAGGCAACAAAAGAAGGCATATTGTGGTATCAATTGAACGAGATGGACACCTTAGTGTTTGGGATTGTAATGGGTCTACCAATGATGATCAGCCGGCTGATTTGGTCCTTAGACAAGATATTGATTTAGCTGACAAGTTTCTGGAACCACGAGCATTCATATTAACCGAATTCCCAGATAATTCTACCCTGTTGAAACAATATTGTATCTTCGCTGTATTTGAGAATGATATTGTCAAAGCATGGAGACTTTCTTTGAGTTATAGCAAGTCGAATTTCATAACAAAAATTGGATTCAATTCACAAAATATTGCTGGTCTCCCTCAGGATGAAAAGATATTCCAGATTGGGACAGTGGATGCATTTATACAAGATTCGACCAAAAGCTTAGTCACAGTCATTGATGAAAATGGCCTATTGAGATGTTATACACTTGATTATTCAAATACCGAAACCTTACAATGGAAACTTACCCACTCATTGGTCACCAACATTAAGCGAGCAAGCAAGATTCATGGATCAACCATTATAAATAAATTTGCCGTTGTTGACGAAACTGGCTCAGTCTTGACAGTATGGGATGTAAATCAAGGTGTATTGGAATATGAAGAAACTTTCCCAGAAGAGAATGGACCAGTGAAAGATTTAGATTGGACATTCATCAGTGCATCCACAGAAAAACTGACCTCAAATGCAATCTTATCGATTGGATTCAGTCGATTCGTATTGTTGTATACTCAATTACGTTATGATTATACTAACAAAATACCTACGTTTGCTTGCTTGAAAAAAATTGATATTTCCGATTACACATCTCATGAAATTGGTGATCTGATTTGGTTAGATGGAGGATATTTGATCATTGGGAGTGGAAATCAATTTTTCATTGATGATAGATGGGTGAAATTGGGTTCTAGAACAATTGATTCTATGATTCGACAATTGATGACTGGATATAGTACAGAAGGAAGATCCTGGAAGCAACCTAGTATGTTTGGCGTTGATGATGAGAGCGACAGTGATGAAGTTGTTGATAGCGAGGTAGAAGAGGAAGATGATGGAGGCGGGTATAAGACTGTGACTAAACCTATGGAAGAAATGGTTTATGATATTTCGCAGTTAGTTCGAGTGTTGAATGGACCATTACCTATATATCACCCACAATTTCTCATTCAGGGTTTGTTTATGAGTCAAGTTAACTCGGTGAAAAAGATTTTGGTTAAGTTGTTTCATGATCTACGTAATGGTGAAGCAATTACATGGGACTTGAATATGAATATCGAAGAGGAGATCCATAGTACTCTGGGGATTTCCATCAAGGAAGATGCTCCGAAAGCCAAAGGGGCGTTGCAAAGAAGAATGTCACAGCTTTTCAGTATTGACGTATTCTCCAAATTTAACGATGAAATGGCGGATCTATTGACTGAAAACTTGATGAAGATTTCGTTGCCATTATTAACCAGGCATCAACAAAGTACGCTTATATCGGTCGTTGCAATTGTTAAAGAATTGACCAAGCATTTGCCAAGCCTTGATGATAATGGTATTCGTTTCATGATCGGATTTAAATTATTTCAATTATCAACCAAACAAACTAAGCTATCTATGCGTGATATTAATTGGGCATTACATTCAGATAATAAAGAAATGTTACTTGCTGCAGTAGAAGATCACTATAAGCATAGGATGACTTGGGAATCAATTAGACAAACTGGATTGGCATACTGGATCAAAACAGATAGATTAATTAAGATTATTGAAAATGCGGCCAGAAATGAATTTAGTGAGAATCGTGATCCATCTGGCAGGGTTTCATTGTTTTATTTAGCGCTTCACAAAAAGCAAATTTTGATTGGATTATGGAGAACGGTTAGTCATCAAGAGCAACAGAAGATGTTGAAGTTTTTGAGTAATGATTTCACTCAAACTAGGTGGAAATCCGCCGCGTTGAAGAATGCTTTTGTATTGTTAGGAAAGCATAGATTCATGGATGCTGCATATTTCTTCTTGCTTGGAGATGCTCCTGCTGATTGTTGTAGTACATTAGCCAGTAGAGTTGGTGATGTTGCATTGGCAATTGCCATTGCTAAAGTCTATAGTGGAACTGCAAAGCCACATGATGAAAATGATAAACAAAGTTTGATTACTGTGATTGAGAATTATATTTTACCTAAAGCTGTTTTGAATGGTGATCGTTGGACTACAAGTTGGATGTTTTGGCAAATGGGAAGTAAAGAATTATCTATTCAAGCATTAATTAGATCACCTCTTGATATTGTCATGCAGAATCGAGATCAATTTTCGGAAAGAAGTGTACAGCATTTAAATGTTTCCACAAAGGGTCAAAGTTTCTTGCGAGATGATCCTGTACTTATTTTATTGTTCAATGATTTGAGACAGAGAAAGATCAATTATTTCAAGGGTTCATTGGATATATCCAAATATGAAGAGTTCCAGTTTATTGTTAAAGTTTGTTTAATATATACTCGAATGGGGTGTGATTATCTTGCATTACTTTTGTTAAGAACTTGGTCATTTTCAGAAACAGAAATTGCCGAAAGTATTGATTGGGGATCACCAATCAGTCCAACAGGGAAGGAAAAGATGGATGAATATTTCACTGGAACAAGCAATGGAGGTGTTCCTAATTTGCTCAATTCCTTTTCATTTGATCAACCACTGAAAAAGAAGAAACAACTTCCACAGATTGCCGCTAAAATGAAGCAGCAAGCGAGTATGAAGAACAAGACTCCGCCACCCGCACAAGCTTTTGAAGAGCCGGACATGAGTGCATTTAGTTTTGGATTTTGAAAAAAGTTACTCTAGTGTATATTTTATTTAATGTGATAATTTAAAACTAAAGCATTGATGGAACAGATATATTTGAACGTCAAACATCTCTATCAAGTTCACATCTTGTTATTCTTTACTGTGCTGATTCTAAAATTGCCAGCATATTTTTTAAATTACTTTATTAAGGACTATGTAGACTAATAAACAGAACTTGTATTCCGAAGTATAATACGTAAAGTCTTGAACACTGCACCCCAGGTTTCTATTACTGTGAATATTCCTGCAAGAATAAGGAGAATCCATACCCTTGAAACAATTACTCCTTTTACTACTTGATATGCCATTGAATCAAAAATCCCCAACAAAATCTCCATTCCTACTACAAATTGAGCAAAAAATTCGTCTTCATTATCTAGCTCGTATAAACTTGTGGCAATAAACAATACCAATTTCTTAGAGGGATACATTGTTATTAACTTAAGCACGTACTCATCCCATATTTCAATCGTATAGTGACGAAGATAGTAAGCCTCGTAAGGTGCATAATATTTCCTTCTCAAAGCTTTAGGATCTCCATAATTTAAATCCATTAATATTCGACACTCATCTGGACGTGAGTCACAATATGGTTTTGAAAGTAAATGAGCCCTAAAGTTAGTCTCTATATATTCAAAACTTTCAGGTCCAATGAATTTCGGAATTAGATAGGTTGTTATCAATACTGGGAACATGCCTATTAAGATATATTTAATATGCTCTAATATCACACGCGTGCTTGATTGCGACATGTAGTTATTTATTGGGTATGGCATCATTGTTGTTACTATGAGCGGCTGACTGTCTTACTTGAATCAAACAAAGAAGAGAAGATCTGTTACATTCCCGAAATACGGGGTTTTATTTTTCTTATCAAAACGTTTTTTCTGTAGATTGTTGTTGCTGGATTACAACTTCCCATTTTTTTTGCACCCAAGTTACATTTCTACTCTTTTTTACCAATATTCTCCATGCTTGGGGCTATATAAGAGTCTAAATGGTATTTACCATAGTTCTTGTCATTAAATGTTTCTCCAATGAAGGAAATACTTTTATTCCAAAAGAAAGGAGGGTGCATAACATATTCTCGCTTGTGTTGGTTTTTGAACGAATCGCAATCGAAACATGAACAATGTTACATATTTGTTTAGTAAATCAGGTGATCTAATCACTCTAACACTTCTTAATAAGAAGGCTACATGTATCCCATTAAAAAATTGTAAAAAAATGGAAACCACTTCGAAACCCTACCCGGGACTCGAACCCGGAGTCTCCCGCTTAGGAGGCGGATGCCTTAACCGTTTGGCCAGCAGGGCATGCTTGCAAATCAAAGAAAGTGAATTTTTTACTCCATTCAGATTTTTTGGATCACGTGATAAAATTTTCTTTTGAATAAAATAGTACCATATGCTTGTATTTTCATCATAATTTTGAAGGTGTATAAAAACTTCATCCTCTAGGTATACGCTGAGTCTAATTATTTGCACCTGAGACCAGTTCTTTGCACCGAAATAATTTTTGGTAATTTTCGTAATTTTTTTGGGAAATTTTAGATTTTGAATTTTTTTACAGAAAAGGTGAAAGGTTATATTTTCTATTTTAAAACTACCCTCTTGTTTCATTTGAAGAATATTCCAGAATCCCATTCTGGAGAGAAACTTAGGATCTATCAATAGAGCCTTTTTTGTCCAGTGAAATGAGTTTTCGAATCATTCCTGACGATGAAAAAGTTATACATTGGCTGGCCCAGGGGGGGCCTTTTATTTTACGTTGTGCACCAAATACTCCTTTGCTTCTAACTACCCGATTTATCTTCTTGAGTAAAGGTCTTTTTGACGAATTATGACCGAAGTGTTAAATTGGCTGATCAGCTAAGATCAGGATGCATCCTGGGTTCGAAAGTTATTAGCCATTGTCCAACGTTTGATTTTGAAAATATAGAAATAAGATACAACAAGGCTTCGGATCAACTAGAAGACTAGTCAAGTCAAGAATTAAGATTACTAACACAGACTTAAGCTGCTACAATTTGTTGTCTGTATTTTTCTAAAATCGGAACACCAAATGTAACCAATTCGTTTAAGCAATTTAGTCTCGCAAAATTGTTGATCAGCCTCAAACCAGGCTGAGTACTCTTTGAACACAGTCGCCACTGTCTAAGCTTCAGAATTGGACTGAAGAAATATATCATAAAACAGACCTTGACATCATATATGTATAGATAAAATCTACTATATAAATACCATTCCACTTTAACGGGTGCGAAATATCAGTGTGCAGTTTTTTTTGCAGCCATTTTGGATGTGAATTTGTTAGACAAAAGTATCTTGAGAAAGAATTTACCTTTGACAATTAGAGTTACCTAATTGAAAGTAGAAAACGGCTTTTTAAGGGGATTACGATTTTGAGGGATGTAGAGGATAAGATTTTCTATAACTATTTAATGTAGTATTCTATCAGCTCTTAGTATAAATTTTTATCCTAAGCCTGGTTAGCTTGAAACGTTGTAATTGTCTCATTTCTTGCAGGCTTAGTTTACTTTGAGGGAATATGATTAAAAAGTTGGAAAATCATCTAGGGAAGATATCTTTATACAAATATCGTTTGGAAAGCTGAAGAGAACCAGGCGAAGCCAAAAAAAGACACGGTTTTCTTGTAATAGATAGACAATGATATTTACGAGTAAAGATCGTAAGATGATACTCAACTCTGAATAAAGAAAGCTCCAGAATGTTACGCATATAGTCATATTTTCTTCCTCTCAGAAGTTCTCATGTCTATTATCATCCTACTGCAGAACTGGAGTCCGTTCTATTTAGTCTCTCGTTTTTTTATCAGCTTTGTTGCAGCCATTTTGTATTGTGTGCAGATCTAGGAGAATCTAAAGTCTAAGCCTTGCTGATAGTCTTTTGATTTAGCAACAAAGCCTTTTCTCGGAATTAAAAGCAAATCAATTTCGCAATCAAACCAAGAATCAGAAATATTTGATGTTGATAGAGAGAAACGTATTTTGTGCCTGCCAAGAACATGGCTCAAGAAAAAACAAGATCGGACTTATACGGGCGATAATGAAACCAGGCTATGTGATGTTGTCGTATTCAGGGTACAATAGCTTATTATTCGTGGCCAAGAAAAAAGCTTGTTGCCACCATCAGTATCTATGAAACAACATAAGTGGAAATTTCAGGGGTTTCTCCAAAGGAGATAGACTAATGCGACTACCTTCCGCCAAAGAAAGATAAATTGAGATTTAGAGTTTTTGGCAGATTCATTCTGCATCACAAGGAATGGGATTTTGAAAACATTTGAGTTTCATTTCTGACGTGTGCTGGTTAACATTATATCGTATCTCAAACCAAATTCTGTCATCGTTCATGTTACAAAAAAGAACATTGCTTCTGTAAATTATCCTGTTGGTTTTTTGTAGATGTGATTGTAAACAAGACTTGAGAAAGAGCCACGAATGTAAGCCCCGCTACTGATTCAATAAGATAGAAGTTTGGGAGACTATTCAGAGGCTTGAATATGGAAAGTCAACGAGGGACTAAAATTTTTTGTTGACGCGGTAAATTTAACCTGATTTGGAAACCTAATTTTTTTTTCCAAAAAAATAAAAATTGAAGCGAAGAAAATTAGCCGTGGCAAATGCAATGTTGATGTGCTCATCGAGTGACTTCAAGCTTACATCAACAACAAACATGAAGCATCGCCTCTAGTCATACTTGATACAGAAATAAATAAAATAACGTGTTTGACTCGGATATTCCAACGCAATTTCTTTTTTGCAGAAGAAATTATAAGAAATATTCTCATGTAATCAAAAGAAATCTCAAAAAATCAGCCTCGATTATTATTACTAAAACACTAGCGAGATGTGATGACGGATATCTGCTTTGCATGGATTTGATGACCTGCATGTTCCGTTTCTTAAAGAACTCTCTTCTTTTTTAATAGTTTAGAAGATACAAGAGAATGATAGTCGAGTAAGAGTGTTGTAGGATTCGTGTTTTCAATGCGTTTCAGGAGAATGGAAAGGGTTGTCCGAGTGGGGTTTACATTCACGAGCATTATCGATGAATGAAAAATCCTTAGCGACTAATCTTTTGTGCCACATATAAATCTACTGACAAGGCGAAGTATCCAAAAAAAAAAATGTGCCACCAATTAGCAAAGGGTGTATTATAATTTTCGAATTGTCTGTAAGTATATGGTGATGACTCTGATATAATCAACGATAAAGCCTTCAAACTGTGGTAGGAAGAAACAAAGCAAAAAAATAAAATATGCATGGTCTAAAAATTCTAATAAATTATAAAAAATAATTTATTATTGAAAACTCTGCAAAAATATCCTGCATACAAGGGAAAACTCGTTCCATAGCATAGCCTCTTTTTCCCCTTGAGAATTGTGAAACTTAATAGAAATTAAAATACATAGTAAATTAGTAAGTGTAATATCCCCGGCTTCTCTTTCTTTTAAAAATCATTTAAAATCTTATCAACTAAAAAAAATTAGGATCATTCAAATTTAATTTGCAACAATCCTTTTTCAAAATTATCTATCATCCATTCATCATTCATCATCATTTTTTTTTTTTAGAATTATTAAGAGAAAGGCTTGGATTATCTATAATATCTATAAACTACACATACATAATTTTTACACTTTTAAAGGATATATCATCAGTTTAAATTAAATGAATATTCCACTTTAGATAAAAAGTTATTCCAAATAAATTTAAGCATTCCTCTCTCATCTTTTTTTGCATTTTACATAACAACAAACAACTACATATATAAATGCTACCCAGGATTTCCTTAGACGGGGCAGATTCAACTGTTAACGATGACAGTCATGAACATACTGACGATACAATTAACGACAACAATCATCATATGCCTATAACAAATGGCAACCTTAATGGAAATGACAACCATAATATAGACCATAACAACTTAATGTTACCTACTCGACCCTCGTATGAAGATTTAACTTCCGCCTCATCTACTACACCCTTGAACAAATCCATGCGAGATGTAGAAGATTACAAGATTGAAATTTCAGACATTCCAGCTCCTCATTCGGATCCAGAATATAGAACAAATACATTTCAGAAGCTTACAACTATCCTTACGGTTACGTCTACTAGGCATAATCATGATTGGAGGATAAATCCGAGGAAATTAACCGATTTACACGACCCTAAATCTTTAAAAGTTTTGTATGAATTAGGTGGGTTTGAACAACTTTGTCAATTATTAAACACATCGGCAGAAGGATTAGATGAGAATAATGAACAAGATTTCGAATCAAGGCGTCATTACTTTGGTGCTAATAAATTACCACAAAAGACAGCCAAAAGTTTTTTACAATTATGTTATGAGACAATGAAGGATAAAGTATTGATTATATTAGCCATTGCTGCTGTGGTTTCACTTGCATTGGGGCTTTATGAAACTTTTGGAACTGGAACACATTACGACGAGGATGGAAATCCATTACCGAAAGTGGATTGGGTAGAAGGTGTGGCGATCTTGGTTGCTGTATGCATTGTCGTGTTGGTGGGTGCTGCCAATGACTATCAGAAAGAACGTCAATTTGCTAAATTAAATGCCAAAAAGGAAGATCGTGAATTGATTGTGATTAGAAATGGGGAACAGAAATTAGTTTCAATTTATGATTTAGTTGTGGGGGATATCATAAATATCCAAACTGGTGACGTTGTTCCTGCTGATTCAATTTTGTTCCAAGGAGAACTTGAATGTGATGAATCGGCATTAACTGGTGAATCACATACTATTCATAAAGTGCCCGTTGATTATGCAATGTCAATATATAAATCTCATTTACCTACCCAGGAAGATATAGGAAGTCAAGTCATAAAATTACGTGATCCATACTTAATTTCAGGTGCTAAAGTATTATCCGGTTTAGGTAATGCTTTGGTTACTGCAGTTGGAGAAAATTCCATTCATGGTAGAACAATGATGAGTCTTGCCCACCCAAATGAAGTCACCCCAATGCAAAAGAGATTAGACGATTTAGCTGAAGGTATTTCCAAATATGGGTTCCTTGGTGCTCTTGTATTATTTGTCGTCTTATTTATTAGGTTTTGTATTGATATTGCTCCAGGAGGACTTTATGATGATTATGAACCGGCGGAAAAGGGTAAGAAATTCATCGATATTATTATCACTGCCGTTACTATCGTGGTTGTTGCAATTCCAGAAGGGCTTCCATTGGCGGTTACTTTAGCATTAGCGTTCGCCACAACTCGAATGGCCCAGAATGGTAATTTAGTCCGTGTTTTAAGGAGTTGTGAAACTATGGGAGGTGCTACCGCCGTTTGTTCAGATAAAACAGGAACTTTAACTGAAAATAAAATGAGAATAGTGCGTGGGTTTTTTGGATTAGACAATTCTGGTAATTTATTAGAATTTGATGATACTCATTCCGGTAAAATTAGTAAATCCATTGACGTAATTCATAAAATCACTAATGAATTGAAGATTTTTTTATGTACCAATATCACCCTCAATTCCACTGCATTTGTAAATGTTGAATATGATGAAACAAAAGCCCAACAGGCAAGACAAAAACCAAGACAAAGATCAGTTTTCCATCAAATGTTGATGAAAAAGAAGAAACAAACTCAAACAGAATTAGGTGTTGTCGATGAACCATATTTAGGTAATAAGACCGAATCAGCATTATTAATCTTGGCTAAAGACAAATTCAAATTGTTTGATCTCGGAAAATCACTTGATGATATTAGACATGATAATGCTGATAAGATTGTTCAAATTATTCCATTTGAAAGTTCAAGAAAATGGGCCGGGGTTGTATTACAGATTGACAATGGGTATAGAGTATACATTAAAGGTGCAGCAGAAATTGTATTTAAGAATTGTGGATTCCAGAATGATTCTAATGGAGACTTAATACCCTTGAGTCGAGACCAGCGAGATGACGTTTTATCCAAGATCGACGAATATGCAAATGATGCTCTTAGAACTATTGCTTTGGGTCACCAGGATTTCGTTGGCTTAGATAATTGGCCACCACCAGGTTTGGCACAAAAAGGAAATCCGAAAGAAGCTAATCCAGACTTTTTAGTTAACACTTCTGAGAATTCAAGTGATGTTCCAAAGGATTTTATTCTTGATGCATTGGTAGGTATTCAAGATCCATTGAAAGAAGGTGTTCCTCAAGCCGTGTTACAATGTAAGAGAGCTGGTGTTACTGTTCGTATGGTCACTGGTGATAATTTAAACACAGCCAAATCCATCAGTAAAGCATGTCACATCTTAACTGCTGACGATTTATCTAATGAATATGCATATATGGAAGGACCTCAATTTAGAAAATTATCTCCAGCTGAAAGAAATAGAATAGTTCCACAATTGAGAGTATTGGCTCGTTCATCACCTGAAGACAAACGAATCCTTGTTGATACGTTACGTAAAGCTGGTGAAGTTGTTGCAGTTACTGGTGATGGTACTAATGATGCTCCTGCTTTGAAATTGGCCGATGTTGGTTTCTCAATGGGTATTGCCGGTACTGAAGTTGCTAGAGAAGCTTCTGATATTATCTTAATGACTGATGATTTTACCGATATTGTCCAAGCTATCAAATGGGGTAGAACGGTTGCTATATCTATTAAGAAATTCATTCAATTCCAATTAACGGTGAATATCACTGCTTGTGTTGTGACATTTGTTTCTGCTGTTTCATCACTGGAAAATCAATCGGTTTTGACTGCTGTTCAATTATTATGGGTGAATCTTATTATGGATACTCTTGCTGCTTTAGCCTTGGCGACTGACAAACCTGATGATGCGTTCTTGAATCGAAGACCAGCTGGTAGATATTCCCCATTGATTTCTACATCGATGTGGAAAATGATTATGGGTCAAGCAATTGCTCAATTAGCTATTACGTTTACATTGTATTTTGCTGGTCCAAAAATATTCTTTGGCGATGACGTTACCAGTCATGAAAAGGCCCAACTAGCATCTATGACGTTTAACACTTTTGTTTGGTTACAATTTTGGAAATTGTTCGTAACGAGAAAGCTTGATGAAGCTGACGAAATAGACACAGTTAGAGGTAGAATTACTGCAGAAAATTTAAATTTCGTATCCCATTTATTTAGAAATTGGTATTTCATTTCAATTGCTTTAATAATTGGTGGATTCCAAGTTTTGATTATGTTTGTTGGTGGTGCTTCATTTAGTATTGCCGAGCAAACTCCAGGTATGTGGGCTACTGCGATGATTTGTGGACTTAGTAGTATTCCAGTTGGTATTATCATTAGAATTATACCTAATGTATGGGTTGAACGTATTTTCCCTGCTAGGGCATTCAAAAAATTCCTTTATATTGTTGGGTTCGGTTGGTTGAAGAGAAAGAAGAAGAACGCTGAATTGGAAGATGGTGGAGAGGAAGAAGGAGAGGTTGATTATTTACGATCATGATGATGATTCGTGCGATCGAAAAGTTCTTATTTTTTATATATAGGACCTTTTGTATATTAATCAAATATTAATAGATATTTATTTTTTTTTATAGAAAATTGTTATAGATAATATAACTATTCAAAGAAGTCATTGTAGCAACCCTTGGAAGTTTTGTCTAGCATCTTTTCAGCTTGCCAATTTGTAAAATGTCCTTCCAGCAGTTTTGTATAACTGTCAATACTATCGCTGTTTCTGAATTAGGTCGTCATGGTACCAGTGGCCACTCATGCGCTGCTTCTGAAGATCAGTATGTGGATCAGGAAAATAGAGGCACTACCAAGGCTCCATAGGGGGATCGGTGTTTATCCGGCCAACTCCCATTTCAACGACATTCATAAGCTCGGTGATAAAGAATTGAAGACTATTTGTGGCAAATTATACATAAGAAATGCGCAATTTTTGTGTTGCAAAACTTATCTAATTAGCCACAAGACGTGTGCATATACAAATCGCGGATATATGCAAGCCATGAACATGCGTATGTAGTACAATCCTGTTAAGAGAGGTATTCCAAGTGGTTTTTTTGATAGCTGCTAGTGTCTATCTTCTAATCGCTCAACGAGGTTCTTCTATAGATTCTCTACTCTGGTATAAATATAAATAACTCTCTCTAAAACATCTTTATACCAGGTTGCTGCGGACTGTACGAGTTTCTTCAACTTTTCCGTTCTCGTCTTAGTTCTTACTATTCAACAATCGAATTAACATTAGCAGTATAATATTCAACTGTCCCAGCTAATCTCATCATTTAGCTCTTGCAACTCTACTTCGACATGTTGCAATGTATTAAGGATAAGGGATTTATAGAGATGATAAGCCCATATAGTGTCGAGACCCATAAAACCTCTAAATTCATTGTATGATCAACTCGGAGTACACAACACAATCAAAATTGGTTGCAAAAAAAAATAAGAATCAGTTATTAAGAATCGTACAAATTTCTTAGGAAGAATTATGCAAAATTAATAGAGCTATAAAAAAGGTAAGCTAAATATTTAAAGAGGTACAGAATGTAATTATACACATATCAAGATGAATGTTACAACTGCTCCTTATGATCACTTGACAAGTCTTGTTTTGTCAGTCCTGGTGGAACTGACGCAGTCAATGATTGTTTACTATCCAGATTATCATATCCTAAATTCTCCCCTAATTGCTATTGTGAAGGTGGTTTTTCATATGCGGGTGGAGCTTGTTGATGTTGTACAGGTGGAGGTTGTTGGAATTGTCCAGGTGGAGGTTGTTGGAATTGTCCAGGTGGAGGCTGTTGGAATTGTCCAGGTGGAGGATGTTGGTATTGTTGTTGGTATTGCCCAGGTGGAGGTTGTTGATATTGGCCAGGATGAGGTTGTAGATAGTGTCCTGGTGGTGGAGGCTGACCATATGGATTATACGCATATTGTCCTGGTGGAGGTGGTGGATAATTGTAATATCCTTGTGCTTGCTGTTGTGGTGGTGGCTGTTGTTGGACTGGTTCAACTGGGGGTGGTTGGGGACTTTTGGAACTTCTATTGGTAATCGCACTAGCAGCTACAGTACCTAATGCAATTGCGCCTGCACCTGCTACCATGTTTCTTCTTCTTGCTCTTCTACGCGCTGGAATCATTGTTGATGGTTATTGTTAGTTGCTTTAAATCAACCTATTGAATAGTTATGAGAAGAAGAAGAAAAGATGGAAAACTACGTATATTCTTAATGTATTTATAAGAATTAATTTTCCCCCTAATATTCATCCCAAAACAGCAACGAGGAATTAAATTGCCAAAAAAAATATCAATTTCATGTGTGATTATTTTGAAACCGGGGAGGGATCATATTCATCATCCAGGGTTTCATTTGACCAAGGATTTAGCGGAAAGAAGGCTGTGATTTAAAAAATAAATTTGATGGTTACGTTCTTTATATATGTAAGTTAGGATGCAAATTCGGGTTTAACTATATATCCTAAAAAATAAATAATTTTTAAAAGGAAGTCTTCGAAGACGGGCCATTTTTTTCGATTCGAGCTAGGGATGCGGTTTGAAGAGCGGAGGCTTGAAACAAAACTCACTCAAAGAATCGTACGAGATAATTTTTTGATCATTTTCGAGGCTTGAATGTCGGTTGTAAATTGTTTTGATGATGGTCGGTAACCCCAAAGCTTTTCTTCGGATACATAGGTAGAAAATAAATTAATACCGTATACTGGTCGTCTGCCGATCAGAGTAATCATACGTTTTCTATGAGAATCAAGTTAGGAATATTCTACACTGGAAGCATATCTTCATCTGTTATAACATGTTCAATGAAAAGTCGGTTGGAATGCATCCTTCCCGTAAGTATTTCATTAGTATCCCAGATGAGGTCTTTGAAAACTACTCCTAAGTGAGTGAAAAGCAAAGCTACTGAACGAAGAGTAACATGATATGCAACGCAGTGAATATTTATCGTTGTAAAGGGGACAAGTGAAGGGTAAGAGAAGCTGCATAACAATATGCAAAATTGGCTGCAAAAAATTGCACATTTTACAAAGAAAATAGAATCCAATTCTTATTATCATAATCATAAAGGGGCATTCATTAAATATTATACAAGAACTATCTATTATACAGATACAACAGCTTACAAACTATAACGCGGAGGTGCTTGTAAATGTTGAGATTCAACCAGAGGTGATACTGATTGTTTATTATCGCGTGAAAAGTCCGGCTTTCTCAGTCTAGGTGGTACAGGTGGAGGCGATCGTTTTGAATCAGGAGAATAATCGTCATCATAATACCCATGATAAGCATGTGGGTGTGAGTGGTGATGAGGTGGAGGATATCCATGTTGTGTTTGATAATGACCTTGAGGTGGTGGTGGTTGGTGATAATGACCTGGAGGTGGTGGCTGGTGATAGTGACCGTGAGGTGGGGGATGACCTCCATATGGATTATAACCTGGTTGATCATATTGTCCGTGTGGTGGATATCCATGGTTGTAATAAGTATGGTGCCCATGATGTTGAGGTGGAGGTTGTTGTTGTACTGGTTGAGCTTGTTGAACTGGCTGTTGAGTCTTTGATTTTCTATTGATGATTGCGTTGGCAGCTACTGCACCTAAAGTAATTGCACCGGCACCGGCAAGCATATTTCTTCTTCTATTACGTCCTAGCATTGTTATTATATTGTTATTTGTTATTAAAATCGTTTGATTAATATTGATGAAGAGAGGGAGAAGGAAATTTAAGAACTTAGGGACATTTGAATCTATTTATACCAGTCCCCTTGACATCACATAGCCGAAGTTGTTATTCGTTATATCATTGTGTGAATCATTGACTCGGATAAATGCCATGAATGACTAGATGCATTATGTGCGAGTAATTCCGGAGAGATAAAAGTTTTTTTCTGCTGCCAAAAAAGAAAAGGGTGTGACTGAAAAATATTTTTTAGGTGATGTAATTCAGTGACATCAACCATAGAACAATATGATCGAACGATTCTATTAACAATGGCTATGTGAATTGGGAAAAATCAGTGATATAGACATCATCGTCACAGATTGTACTTACATACCCATTTATTAATAGAATACGCTAACGGGGAAATACGGAACGACTTGGAGTCATGTCGAGAAACAAATGACTCTTAAGATCGATGGAAATAACGCGGAAGAACTTCCTATTTTTTTTGGCGGCAACACATTTTGTGCAATTCGTTTTACAATTTGTAACAAACGGGGAATACAAATTTCGCCACTCTTGTTACATCCCCAACATTCCACACTTTCGAAGATATTCAAAAGACACGTAGACAAACCAATCCCCTCAAGAAAGGGTTACTTTCCAATAGTGACTACCTGAGTATGGGCACTGTCACATCTGAAAAGGAGGGGAGTGAAAAGTTTTCTACAGACTCATAACGTCCGCTAAACGATACAGAGGGGAGAGAGAGAAAGATTTTCTTTCATTAAAAGCTAGACGTGGAGGGGAGTGATAATTTGGGTTGACTCATAATTACCGTCAAAAAACGAGTTTGGAGTTAACCGAGGAACTTCTTGGAGATGAGAGTTTTTTTTTTGGGTGAGAGTATCGAGCCCGAGGCACATTGATACAGCCAACGAAATTACTTCGAAGGGGGGAAGGATGGAGGGGTGGGCAGGAGAGAGTGGCTAGTACATACAACATCTAAACGATATACTTTTTTTGGGTTCTTCAATTAAGTTTGAAGTAATTTGAGGAGGAGAGAAAAAGTTTATTCAGTGGGCCCAACATTAGTTTTTCTTATCGTATAATTCTTCGGACTTGTTCCGCGCAATTTTGGTTGCACAATTCTTTTGACGCCACAATTGTTAACCAGAAAAAAAGAAAAACCGTTTAAAATGCAGGAGATTTTTCTTGTGTGAAATTTTTTTTTCTCACCCGAGTCAACTAACCCTTATCGCAAAAATGACAAATAGTCCTCCATTAGCAACTACACATCAGAGCAACGGTACTAATAAAGCAATGATAGACAAAGCGAGAACTTCTATAAAGTCAGATTTGGAATCTAATAGGGTAGAAGAATTAGACTATCTCTTAACCAAGCTTAAACCTAAGATCTTAGCTTATATCGATGAATCAAATCCTCATTCATCAAATTATAAACCGGGATCATTGGGAACTTATCATGAACCCCAATTTCTTAAGAAAGAAATCTTAAATGGTGATGATTTACAAAAGCCTTGCAGTGATGAAGATTTGTTTGAAGTTTTGGATAAGATCTTGGATTATTCGGTTAATACTTGGAATCCCGGATTTTTAGATAAATTATATGCTTCAAATAATCCAATTGGTGTAATTGGTGATATTATCTTGAGTGTCTTAAATACCAATTCTCATGTATATACAGTTTCACCCGTGTTATCTGTGATTGAAAATTATATTGGTAAGAAATATGCGCAATTGTTTTTTACCCAAGATCAAGAAACGTGTGGCGGATTGACATTTAGTGGGGGGTCATGGTCAAATATTACAAGTTTACAAATTGCTAGAAGTTTAAGATATCCTGATACGAAAGTCAAAGGTAATGCCGGGTATAAGTTTGCCATATATGCTAGCAACCACTGTCATTATTCTGTTGAAAAGGCAGCTATTTTACTCGGACTTGGGTCCGAGAATGTGTTCAAAATACCCGTGAATGAAGATGGGACATTAATTGTCGAGGAATTAAGAAAGACAATCGAAAGAACAAAAGCAGAAGGATATACTCCTCTTTATATCAATGCTACTGCCGGTACCACCGTCTATGGTTCCTATGACCCCTTTGAACAAATTGCCAGAATTGCAAGAGAACATAATATTCATTTCCATATTGATGGATCATGGGGAGGAAATGTGATTTTTTCAGCCAAATATCGCGACAGATTAAGTGGATGTCATTTAGCTGATTCCATCACGGTGAATCCACATAAGATGTTGGGTATACCAAACACCTGTTCTTTCTTGTTATTACCCCACGTATCACAATTCCAAACTGCGTTATCATTACAAGCTCCATATTTATTCCATGGTCGTGAATCAGGAGAAGAGAATTTCGATTTAGCTGATGGTACAATGGGATGTGGAAGACGTAGTGATGCGCTTAAGTTCTATTTAGCTTGGTTATATTATGGATTTGAAGGGTTTGAGAAAAGAGTTAATCATGCTTATGAAATCATGCATTATTTCGTGAAGAGGATTAGACAAGATGAGAATTTCGAATTGGTTAGTGATCCTCAATGTTTGCAAGTTTGTTTCTATTATCATCCACCGGGATGTAAATTTGATAACACATATGTCACGAGATATGTTTCGAGGGAATTACATAAATTAGGAAAGTATCTTGTTGATTTCAGTCCAAATCCTGGACATGATGAACAAGGTGAATTCTTCCGAGTTGTTTTCAATTCACCAATTTTGACTGATGCTGTGATTGATGATTTGGTTAGATCTATTGTTGAAGTGGGATCTCATTTACAATAGTCATATCGGCTTTAGGTTTGTATTTTAGGTTTGAGGGGGGGTGAGCTTGTTTTTATTTTATTGGATCACTTCAGTAAAAGTTAGTAGTTATGAATTGATTATTTAGTTAGACATTAAAAATAATTTATTGAATTTTTTTTTTATATTGTGAAAGCTTGTCTTTGAAGATTGAAGTATCACCTCTGATCTACTCATGTCATTTGTTTGAGCATAGTAATTCCGAATTCTTCCTGGTATTATTTGAACTTAAACTCGTGCCAACATTTCCTTGGTATCTAGTTAGCTACCAATACCATAGCTGGATGGTTTCCACTACGCGTATAGAATCTTCGCATCCCAATGCACTATGGTATGAAAATGTCTTAGATGAGTGTAGAAATTGCAACCGAGACGGTATTCGTTATCTTGTTGATGAGTTTAAATCTCAAGTATCAAATCATATAGATTGCCACATATTATACTCAATTTCTATCTAATGGTAACATATTTGATTAGAGCAATCGTACACTATCAAAGGTCCCCCTCAAATAACTTTAGTTTAGACATTAGTTTAGTTTACGGGGAAGAATTCCGTGGCATTGAGATACGTGAAAAACCTCGCTAAAACTTGAAGAGATAACAATTACGATCGTTGATTGAAACATAGTTGCTTTGAGACAAAAAGAGATTACAAATCTATCTCGATCGAGTGTGACTGAAATTTGCTTATCTACTACTAGAAATAATAGCAATAAAGAAGACTACAACAAGAGATGATCTTGTAAAGAGTAATTCGAAAAGCAGAAGTCCCTTGGATTTTTCATGTTTTTAGCAAAAAATATTTACGGATATTTTTTATTTCCATTCTAACAGGGGAAAAAAGAATCAGCATGTTACATTCTGTAAATTATGTTACATTTAGTTTATTTTTCAATTATTATGATGAAACATCAAGACAACGTTACATTACATATAATTAATGAAAATTGAAACATCAATCTCCACATACAACCACCCACAAACAAGGAATATACCGCAACTAAATATGTCAGTTACATGTATAGAGCGTCAACTAATGGCGAATGAAGTGGGGTTAGCTTGTGGGGTTAATTGATTGACTTCACTTGGTAATTAACTCATGCATGAATGGATTGCTCTAATGATCTCCAAAAATGGAATGGATTATTATTATTATTATTTTAGGGAGGTTCGCTTAATTACAATAGAAATAATGGGACCACTCCCCCCAATGGAAGCCATTTCTATTATTCGGAAGAATCGAAGCGCAAAAAATTCTCTTGGTTGTTGAGAACTATAGGGAAAGTTCAGAGAACGATTGACCTTCCAATGAAAGAGTTGAGAAATATAATTTATTTCAAGATTCTTGATTGATTTTGTGTCATCTCGGAGTGAAATGAAATGAGATGAGATGAAAATCAGGAACAAAGACCCCGGGAAGGACGAGGTTGTTCCAGAATTCTTAACACGAAATCGGTACAAAAAATTCACCAATGGAAAATCTTATAAGCCGTTCCTCTTGAACAATCTGAAAAATTTTTCTTGGGTGATTTTGGTTTGTTTTGTCCCACAAAACTACGTATTATTATTATTATTATTATTAATACTATTTATGGAAATGTCATATTTTCCTCCAAGGTTGCAATTTATCCTGTGGAATCTTGCAGCTATACGATTCCTTGGCGATTGAGAGAGATCACTAGAGTAGATGAAAGGTGCCTAGAAGTCAGACGAGGGGAGGGAAGAAATGATTGAGTTTTCTTCGGTCAATACTTGTTTGAATCGTTGTCTAAACTATGTAATATACGACAACTAATCCATTCAGATTAGTTGTTGTTGACACATAAAAAAGAAAGGAATAAAATTCTGCAAGGTGGCGCATTGCTGCAACTCATAAAACAGAACGGAATATCTTTAAAGTTCCAACAAAGGTACCGAAGAAATTAGTTAATTGTTTACGTATGAGATTTCTCTTTTTCGGAAGACGATATGAAGATATTGTTGATCTCATTAGTGAAACCACAACGTGGTTACTTATAGATATCTGGAATTTATCTTAAAACTGTAAGAATCCCTATCTCTATCTTCGATGATCTATCTTTTTTGTTATCTTTATTATTAGAAACATATCAACACATCATAAGATCTTAAATTAAAACACGCAGAAAAAAATAAATTTATTTTTTAACATTCTAATCGAGAAATAAATAAAAAAAAATAATCGAATGTACAACCCTGTTACATTTTTTGGTTTTGATCTAAAATTCTTGTTCTGGGGGGATATTAATAAAAAAAACCCTTTCTCAATTCACTACAACACGCGAGAAGACAAGATTAGAGAGAGTGAGAGAAATACGAGTTTTTAATTTAAATGACACATCCGGTAGCAAGTCTAGTGTAGTCTGCAACCTCAAGGAGGATATGTGAATTTCATCACTTAAAAGCAAAGTTTAGTTTGATTTTATAGTACATAGCAAACTGCAACCTGCCTCCCCCCAGATCGAGCCTCATCGGATTTTTTTTGGCGCCCTACATATGTCAAGCAAATTAGAGTTTTTGTTACTAGTTAGTGGGTCGCCTCATGTCAAAGTGCTGACGATATGGGTTTATCAATATTGGGGGGAGAGCTGGCTGTCTTGTCGTAGTAAAATCTAGTACAGTATAAGATATCGGAACAAATTTTAAAGATTGGTACACAAAGAGGAATAATTGATGGAACAACTAAAATAATATTTGACATAAGGAACAAAAAGGAAAAATGTTAAAAAAAAATAATTTTTTTTAAAGCCTTATGATCTTACAAGCATGACAATGAATGCAAAGAGAATAAAAAATAAAAAAATAAAAGAAATCTAAAAATTTGATGTTTCATTACCATTCTTAAAAATGCTACATGTAATCATTTCTTTGATCGTATACTAATAATAAACTATACCCGTCTTTAATTAATAAACTTTTGTGGGAGTAAAAAGTGGAGATATCACAAAGACAATAAACAAGAACAAAGGACCAAAGACAAGATCCAAAAATTATAAATATCTCATCATCTGCCCTCCCCATCAACACATCCAGTTCAGTCATTCTTTTTTTTTTAATTATTCATTATCAACAACAACAACGATATAGATCAATATGTCTGAAATCGATAAATCAAACAGTGGTGTAGACACTGTATCTACTGGTTCCCACTCACAAGACTTGGAAGTTCAACATGACCATGTTGAACTTAAACATCATTCTATGGCTGAAAGAGAAGCCTCGGGCCATTGGTATGATAAAAGAATCAACCTTGGATTATTTGGATTCCATTATTCATCAGCTATGACTCAAGTTGTTATGCTTGCCTTTGTTATTTTCATGACTCCAGGTATGTTTAATGCCCTTTCTGGTATAGGTGCTTCTATTAGTGATAAAGTTACTTCTGATAATGCTTCCGTCGCTCTTTATTCCACATTTGCAACTATTGGTTTCTTTGGTGGTACTATTTGTAATGTTATTGGTGTTAGAGCTTCTTTAATGTTTGGTGGTATTGGTTATGCCATTTATGCTAGTTCTTTATTATGTTTCAATCATACTGAAAATAAAGGATTTGTTATCTTTGCTGGTGCATTCTTAGGTGTTTGTGCCGCTGTCTTATGGGCTGCTCAAGGTACTATTATTATGTCATATCCAACTGAACAAACCAAAGGTAGAGCCATTATGGTCTTTTGGGTTATTTTCAACTTGGGTGCCGTTATTGGATCCATTATTCCTTTAGCTGATAATATTGCCAATAAAGGAGCTGCTGCAAATGATGGTACTTTTATTGCTTTCATTATTTTAATGTGCTTAGGTTCAGTTATTGCATTCTTTTTATTACCAATGTCCAAAGTTTATAAAGCAGATGGTACTAAAGTTATGTCTGAAAAGCATCCATACTGGAAAGATGAATTATTTGCATTAGGTAAAACCTTAATTAGAGAACCAAAGGTTTTATTATTATTCCCAATGTTCTTTGCTTCCAACTGGTTCTATACTTATCAATTCAATAACTTCAACCATGGTCGTTTCAACATCAGAACCAGATCCTTAAACTCCTTATTATATTGGTTTGCTCAAATGATTGGTGCCATTGTTATTGGTTATATTTTAGATTTGAAATACTTCAAAAGATCTGTTCGTGCAAAGATCGGTTATGCTTTCGTTACACTTGCCACTTTAGCCATTTGGGGTGGAGGTTTGAAATTCCAATTAACATTTACTCGTGCTGAAGCTGAAGCTGTACCACCAACTCTTGAAATGATGGATTATACTGACGGTGAATATATTGGACCAATGTTCTTATATATCTTTTATGGTGCTTATGATGCTATTTTCCAATCATTTATTTTATGGTTATTAGGTGCCCTTTCAAATAATCCAAAGAAGACTGCCTTGTATGCTGGTTTCTACAAGGGTATCCAATCTGCCGGTGCTGCTATTGCTTGGAGATTAGATGCTATTGGAATACCATATATTAGTTTATTTGCTTCTTCTTGGGGTTTATGTCAAGGTTCTTTATTGATTGCTGCTCCTTTAGTCTTTTTCTATATTAAGGACAGTACTTCTGTTGAAGAAGATCATTTGGAAGAAGTTCTTGCTATTGATGAATTAACTTCTGTTAAATCAATTGCCCTCCATGATGAAACAAAGCAATGATTTATATAAACATACACATTACTTGTTCTTTTTAATTCATATATATTATTAGGTTATTATTATTAATTTACACACAATTTACTTTTTATTTACTTCCGTAACTTTCTTTATTAGGAAACATTAACCCATGTTATCAATATCTCTCTTAACATAATCCAACTGATCAATACTTGTGATTTGTCATATTGCGACATTTCTACAATGTCGCACTATGTCGCATAGTTGACAGTATTTTTGCAGAAGTTTCAATTTCCATCTCAAAAGTTTTACAACCAAATTGATGCAACAGAGGAACAAGTAGAGATAGTAAGAGATGATAGTAAGTAATACTAACAACACTGGTAACAATGACTCAATATACTTATACAACTTAACATTAAGACAGCCATCTCATTACATCAATTCTTTAATTGGCCAATTCTTTGGATTGAAGAAATCACAAGAATTGATTGTTGCTTCATCAACTCATTTACAATTATTCATCCCCAATGGAGAAACAGGCAAGTTAGAACTTCAACTATCACAACAATTGTTTGGTGTCATTAATCAAATAGATAAGATCCAATTATCATCTTCATCATCACAAGATACAGTAAAGGATGGGATTGTTATCACTAGTGATTCTGGTAATTTGACAATTATGGAATATAATAAACCAAAGAATAAATTCATCCCCATTATTCAAGAACCAATTGCCAAGAATGGTTGGGGGAGAACGTATCCCGGAGAATTCCTTGCTATTGATCCTTCAAATAGATGTATTCTAGTAGGTGCAATTGAAAGAAATAAATTAGTATTTAGAATACAAAAGAAACAACAAGATTTGGAAATAAGTAGTCCATTGGAAGCACATTCAAAACAACAATTATGTTTATATGTGGTCGCATTAGCTACCGAATTTGAGAATCCACAATTTGGAGCTATTGAGGTGAATGAGAATAATGATGTGATTGTGAATTATTATGAATTTGATCTTGGATTGAATCATATTATTAAAAAAGTCCCCACGAATTCAGAAGCACTTCCCCAAGATATGAATCATTTAATTGCATTGCCGGAAAATATAGGTGGGATGTTGATATGTGGGAAAAATTGGATGGTTTATGATAAATTGGGTTCTGATAGATTATATCTCCCATTACCAAGACGAAGTCAGGGACAAGATTCAATAATTGTGAATTCGGTAATACATAAATTGAAAAAGGATAAGTTTTTCATATTGATGCAAAACTCATTGGGTGATTTGTTTAAAGTTGTGGTAGATTATAATAAAGATAAAGAAATTATTAATGATATTATAATAACTTATTTTGATACAATTCCACCTTCGATAAGTTTAAATATTTTCAAAAGTGGGTTCTTATTCGCTAATGTATTGAACAATGATAAATTATTCTACCAATTTGAAAAATTGGGAGATGACGATGATGATCAAATGAAAGTCAAGTCTTCAGAGTACCCAACTTTTGAATCTGTTACAACCTGTTCTCCGCCACACTTCACCTTGCGAGCATTAGATAATTTGGCATTGATAGATATCTTGGATTCATTATCTCCAATAACAGATGCAAAATTGATTGAGAAAAAGCATCAGGACAAACAACTAGTTACATTATCATCTCATTCTTATATTAAAACAATTTTGCATGGGATACAAACTTCAACAATCGTCGAATCTCCATTACCATTTGTACCTACCGATATATTCACTACAAAATTATCCCAAAATTCAACTAACGACGAATACTTAGTCATATCTTCTTCCCTATCTTCCAAAACTCTTGTGCTTTCAATTGGGGAAGTAGTAGAACAAGTGGAGGATTCAAAATTCATAACCAACGAACTGACAATCGCTGTACAACAACTAGGTAAATCATCGGTAGCACAAATATATACCAATGGGATCCGACACATTCGTCATCTCCCCGAAAAGACACCCACCACCACCGATTGGTTCCCACCGGCGGGTATATCAATCCTCAAAGCCAGCACCAATAATCAACAAGTCATAATCGGCCTTTCGAATTCCGAAATTATATATTTCGAAATCGACCCCCTGGATGATCAATTAATAGAATATCAAGATCGAATCGAACTATCATCCCCTATAACCTCCCTCGCCATCCTTCCTGACCAACGAAGTTCATTCGCGGTGATTGGATGTGCCGATGAGACAATACAAGTGATATCCCTCCATTCTCACTCCTGTCTAGAAATGAAATCAATGCAAGCATTATCATCAACCAGTTCCTCCGTGGTCATGTTGAACAACAAAAAGGGGAGTATTTTGGTTCATATCGGGATGGAAAATGGAGTATATGTTCGGACTAAATTAGATCCCATCTCGGGGAAATTATCCGACCTGAGGATAAAATATCTCGGATCAAGACCAGTCATGCTCACGCCGATACAATTAACGGAGAAATTGGGTGGGATATTGGCGATTTCATCTAAAGTTTGGATATCCTATGCCTATGGGGATATGGATAAGATAACCCCGTTATTGGATATTGAAATATCGTGTGGATCGTCGTTTGTGTCGGAAGATATTGGAGGAGAAGGGATTGTTGGGATTAGGGATAATAATTTGATTATTTTCACGGTGGGGGGAGGTGGGAATGAGGAAGATAGTGGTGATGGGTTTGATCCGAGTCAGGATATGAGTGTTGAGAAGTTGAAGTTGAGATATGCCGCGAGGAAGATTGTATGTATTGAGGGAGTTATGTATGTTGTTGAATCGGAATATGGGGTGAAGGGTCCATATCTGAAAACAAATTTGACTGAAAGTGTGGAGAAGAAGAAGAAGAATGATAATGATGGGGAAGAGGTTGATCAAGATTATTTTGATGCGTTTGGATATGAGCGGAGCGAAGGGTCTTGGGCATCTTGTATTCAAGTAATTGAGAATGATGAAGTGATACAAACTATAGAATTGGCAGAATTTGAAGCTGCTATATCTATGACAAACGTTACTTTCAAGAATAGTAGTAATCAAAATTATTTAATTATAGGTATAACCACCCATCAGAAATTCTTACCGAACTCGCATGACAAGTCTTACTTGTATACATTCAAGATAAACAACAAGAAAAAGGACAAACATCTACAATTCCTCCATAAGACCGATCTAGACTTCATCCCCACCGTCCTCCTCCCATTCAACGACAAACTCCTAATTGGATCCAATAATCATCTCCGTCTCTATGATCTCGGCCAAAAACAGCTCTTGAGAAAATCATCAACCCAAATCGACTACCTATCAAACATAATCAAACTTGAACATCTCGGCAATGATCGAATAATTATCGGAGACTCACATACAAGTGCCTTCACTATAGCGAAATTTGACAACGGTGAAAATCGATTTATCCCATTTGTCGATGATATTATGAAACGACAACTCACGGCCATGTGTTCATTGGATTACGATACCGTGATAGGTGGAGATAAATTTGGGAATATTTTCATATCTAGACTTGATGGAGATATTTCTCGACAATCGGATGATGATTGGACATTATTGAAGAATATGGATCCGAGTTTGAATAGCGCTAGTTTCAAATTAAAGAATCTTGCTGAGTTTTATGTCCATGATGTTCCGGTAGCATTCCAACGGGGGTCATTTAATGTTGGTGGTCAGGAATGTGTGGTGTATTGTGGATTGATGGGGACTGTGGGGGTTCTTGTTCCACTTGTGTCAAAACTGGAGGTGGAATTGTTGGAGAAGTTAGAATTGGCGATGCGGAAGGTGTTTGATTATAATTTTGATGATTTTGATAAAGAAAATATGGAATATAATGCATTGGGTAAAGATCATTTGAAGTTTAGGAGTTATTATAATCCAGTTAGGAATGTGATTGATGGAGATTTGTTGGAGAGGTATTTAGAATTATCTCCTGGGATTAAGATTAAGTTAGCAAGAGAATTATCAAGGGCTCCTAATGAAATTGAAAAGAAACTTATAGATATTAGAAATAGATCAGCTTTCTAGTTTATTAAGTATAAAATTACATTTTGTATTTTTTCTTTATACATACATACATACAGAAATTAAAACACATGCATAGATGAAAAACCTCTTCTTTTTGAAAGAGAAAGTCCAAACCGTCAATCAAATAAATACAAAAAAACAATCAAAATACACCAAAAAGAACGACGACTTTCAAAAAGACAAGATTCAATCTCCATTTTGTTAAACAATTAATTCCTCTACTACTAACTCCCATCTTCTTCTCATTGTTGCAGATTAGCACTTGCAACACCAGTATCACCACCCTCTTTCTTAAACGGCGATTCATTTCCCCTCTCCCCCGGGTTCTGATTCTTTCTACCCAAAGTAGGACTAGCCTGACCACCATTCTCATCACTATCCTTCCTCCCTGGAGTCTGTCCATTCGGAGTACTAAACTGCACAAAATTCCAAAATGCCGGCGACGATTGGTTGGTATTCACACCAGGAGGCGCTAATTTCCCACCATTCACATTATTCGTATTTCCAATCGCGCTACTACGAGATCCACGTTCGGGGGTATATGCCTCTATGGCGCCAATTTTCTTGGGACTGGTAGAATTGGTATTATTATTCACCCCACCCAATTCTCCCCCTGAACTTGGTGCTGTTGATGTATGACTATCGGTACCGATCTGGGTGGATTTTTGATAGGTTGATGTACTTAATTGTGAAAGATCTTGTAATTGATTAGTATTGTATGAATTTGATCTTGAATGGGTAGCAGAAGATGCGGCAGCTGCGGCTATGGTTGCTAATGTCGCATTAACTGGTGGTACTGGTGGTGGTGGGGGGAGATTATAGGTTGAAGAACCGACTTTTGGTAATTTTGGAGTGCTGGTCAAATCGGCTGGTCCTCCATTGGTGGTGGCGGTGGTGATTGTGGTGGATATTGATGGTGGTTGTTGCCCTCGTAATGGAGATGCCAAGGATGATTGTTGTGGGAATTGCGACTGTTGTTGTTGTGGTTGGGAAATAGGTGCAGATGTGGATGATGTGGTGCCTGGTTGGATGATTGATGGGGCGTACATTAATGGTGGTTGTTGAAATCCGGGATATGGACGGGCGGCGCCAAGGTTGGCATTGGCTGATGATGGTACATACATGTTATTAATTGGTTGTCCTGCAGATATGTATGATAATGGATTTGGTTGCATTGGATTAGATGGTATTGGATAAGAAGCTGGTGGATTACCTGGGGCCTGGCCCATTTTTGGAATCGATTGCTGAGCTGACATGGCAGCTTGTTGTAAGTCAGGCTGCTGTTGTTGTTGTGGCTGTTGACGTTGCTGTTGCTGTTGTTGGCGTTGGTGTTGATGTTGATCTAGTGAGGAAACAGATGATTCCTTGCTATAATTCTGAGATTCAGGTAAATGTTTATGAGTTGCCAAATGTAAATGTAATTGTCTAGAAACTGAAGAACCTCTTCTTGTTTTCAGTATAGTCCCATCAGAGATTTTATTTAAAAATTCTTGTTTATAAGATTCACTAATTTGCCATTTCATCCCCTTACCTGGTTCATTTGGTCTTCTAGGTACTTTTTCAAATGCTTTATTTAATGATAAATTATGTCTAATTGAATTTTGCCAACCAGTTTTTGAATATTTATAATATGCATAATGAGAAGCAATCCAATTATAAATCTCGGCAAGTGACATTACACCTTCTGGATTTGATAAAATTGCTTGAGTGATCATAGTAGCATAAGAATAAGGTGGTTTTATATCTTTTGATTCTTCTTTCGATAAATCTTGATCTAAATTGTTTTGTAATGAAGTTGCTGATACAGAAGATGGAGATTGCGTTAATACTTTATCAAAAATTTGAAAACTATTAACAAGATGACCACCACTGGATGAAGGAGGAATACAACCACCATTATTGGTATTCTTCCTTTTGATTGGATTCTGTTGCATTTGTTTATATTTCAAAAGACTCTTTTCTAAGATCTTAGGCATAATTTCAGCAGGAGCATCAGGTAGAATAAACATCATTTGAGTTCCACCAATATCAATAATTGACCCTGATCTTAATCTATGACCAACATTACCAGTTGTAGGAGTACCAGCAGAAACTTTACTTCCATCGATCTTGGCTCCATTTCTTCCCATAACTTTCAATTCCCAACATCTCAGATCTAAATTATACGTAATGGTAGCATGATGTCTTGATACAACTTTTGCTGGACCTAAATCAATATCTACTAAACCAGGAGTACCACTAGTAACATCAGTATTTCTTCCTATTGAAATTGCCAATGATTTGACATAATAAGTCCAATCAGTTCCAGCAATCTTAGCATAAGCTTGAACTTCTGTTGCTAAGTTCTTTTCATTAGCAAAAGTATCAGCAACATTGGTTCTTTCTTGTGGCATTGCCAATGTTGATATCACCGCATTCACCATATCTTGTGGATCATCAAATAATGATAGAAGATTGCCATTACCATCGCTACCATCTCCTCCCCCTACTACTACCTGGTCAATAGTACGTTTGTTATTGTTGTTGTTGTTTGGTGTAGAGACAGACATATGTACTTTCTATGTTCGTGTGTCTTTTTTGTTTTAGTTAATGACTGTCTTGTTTGTTGATGATGATGTATGAGATGTGTCTGTTTGTTTCTGTTGTTGATGATGGATGATAATATGTCTGTCTGTCTGTCTGTCTGATATGTAGCTATTATGGTTTGATGTCGTTGTAGGTTTTGCACAAAAATGCGTTTTTTTGAAAGATTTTGAATGTGTCTGTCTGACTGACTGAATTTGAGAATTGATTGAAATTGTTTTTGTTTATGTTTTTTTTTTTGTTTCTTCTGTTTAATAAAAAAAATTTTTTTTTTTAATTGTTTTGCTTTTTTTTTTTTGAGCTTCGAAATGAAAAGCAGTTTATTCAATAGTAAACTGCAAAAACTTAATATTTTTCAACCTGTCCGTAATTTTTTTTTCTTTCAGTTTACACTAACCGGAATTAACCATTTATAATTGGAAGTACTTCAAGTTAAAAAGTATAACAACCAGCACTACCATTAAAAAGATGAGTTTGAGTTTTAACGAATAAGAATATACAAATTTAAAAATAAACAAAAAGTAAACTTTAAAACGTAACACTCCCACAGAAGGGTGAACAAGTACAAACTGCTAAAAGAAATTCAAATGGAACATCAGGCAAAAAAAAAATGTCTAATAAAATATTTAAATTTAAATGTAAACAGACAAAGATGAAAGAAACTGTAAGGGAGAATCTTAATAATTATAATTAGACATAGACATTAACTTACATGATATCATTATCTATCCTATCTCTTTCTCTATTTATGATCAGTAAATCTTAAGTTGTAGCATTACCTCTCGCAGACACCGGTAGTTTCTGTGTCTGGCCCGACTTCCATTTTTGCAAATGTCGGCAAGTCATTTTTTATTTCTAACCCGTTCATGATTTTAAGTTAATATTTTTTATATGCATCATTGCTTAATTCAGTCATTTATAAATTTGGCTCATTAAAAAAATAATTGATCCAACCAAAACCATTCCAATTTATCCATGGGAACTCGACATCACTCTCCAAGGAAGCAGTCTAATACTCGGTGAAAGTACGTGAATAATCAATTGGTATGACAAATGATTCCTGAGTAATATCAAACCCTCGAGCATCACTAGTCTCTTTCGTAATAACATCCACATCCAAATCTTCTTCTTCTAATCTCTTTTTGGTCAATTCATCTTCATCAATCATATCAAACTCATCTTCTCGTTCAACATATTCAATATTTTCTTCAATCTCGACGAAATCAGGTGCCAATGCACTCCATTTTTGAGGAAATTGAACCAGCCATAAATAAATCATCCCGCTATCTAATCCCACGGATGCAATTGTACATCTGGGATAATTCCATTTCACATCAATTAATTCTTCATTTGATCCTTCTAATATCTTAATCAATGATCCCATTGAGGTTTCCCAAAGATATAAATCATGTGACAGTTGTCCATAGGTTGATGCAACTAAGAATTCGGCATTATGATTGAAAGCGACCGAATTCCATTGTAATCGATTAACTACATCTTGATATCGATGATCTATTTCGAATTCCCAATCTTTTGGGTCAGTAATATTGATTAAATCAGGGAGATCGACTTGTCGTATAATACGATCAGATGAATTCACGGCAAGTTTTCTTCCATTTGATGAAATTATTAAATGTTTGATATTTGAATTGGCAATTTTGATTGAATGGATTAATTTTAAATTGGAGGTATTGAATATATTTAACCAACCTTTACTTGTTCCGGCAAATATATAACTTCCTTCAAGAGTGAATGCAGTCACTAATGTAGAATGTTTATCATTCTTCTTTCGTTTCTTGGTTGTTGGTTTAACTTCCTCGCTTCCTCCATCTACTTCATGCAGTTCTTCTTCGGATGTTTCCAATGGATCTGTTCTCATTCGTGATATTATCGCCTTTTCTTGGGTCATATCCACATATACCGGTAAATCCTCAAACAAAGAAGCAGTGAAAACATATGGATTAGTAGGATGCATACATGCCAGCCAAATAGGACCATCGAATTTCACTTGTCGTATAACTGCCAGTCCTCCTCCTGTCTCCTCCTCTTCATCTTCACTACCAACACTATGGGAATAATTAACCCTACTTAAATCCCATAATTTACAATACCAATCCTGAGAAGAAGATAACAAATATCTACCACAGTTAGACCAAGTCAAAGATGTGATTGGTCGAGTATGACTTCCTTCAATTAAATGAGCGATTAATCCTCCATTACTTATCATATCATAAATAACAATTGATCCATCAGATAATCCTGATGCTAAATAATCTCCTTTAGTGTTGAATTGTATAACTACTGAATGACCATATTGTAATGTGTTGGTTAATGTTTCTGGATACTCTTTGGCTACTGAGAATGGATCTTGTAATGATAAATTCATTCTCTCTTCATATGTTGTTGTTGTTGTTGTTCTAAGTCTATTAAGTTGAAGAATTAATGAAAGGTAGTGTAAAATGTGAAATTTTTTTTTTTCGTTTGATTGATTCNGTTCTAAGTCTATTAAGTTGAAGAATTAATGAAAGGTAGTGTAAAATGTGAAATTATTTTTTTTTTTTTCGTTTGATTGATTCTTTTGATTATGAATTAGGCAGCGACTTCAATTTCTTACTCTATGAAATATAAATCATGATAAAGCAAATATCTAAAAGTCTAAAAACTAGCTTGTCTTAATTTTTAAGGAATCTTGAGACTATTAATAGTATTACCAACAGGTTTAATATCTAAAGGACTATAATGTGTAAAAAAAATTTGTTGCTATTTTCTTAAAAGTTCGCTCAAAGTGGGTGAAGACTTCTCATTAACTTTAGAAAGTCAGTAGAAAGTAGAAGCTTATCTATTTTGACCGTGTCTGTTTCTCTATGACAGTAGCTTTCAGTCAAGCTATTATATGACTATCTTTGTTCTGACCCTCTATGTAGTAAATACACATAGAACAACATATTGGCTGCGAAATCCAGGAATATCAGCGCACGTGATTTAAATTACCTGCAGGTGCAACTAAATCTTATTGTTATTTTTTGGAAAACAATGCGGCGCAAATTTAAGCAAACCAAAAAAAAAAAATATAAACTGTAAAATAATCGAAATCAATTTTTGAAACATTGGGTGATCTCCTTCTTCCTTATAACTATATCATTTTAGTTTGAGAGATTATACTCAAT